GCCAGAGCATCAGAAGGGTGGAGTTGGATAAAAACCTAACTTGGAAAACAAGCACTGGGCCATATGATCAAGGTCCAAAAAAAATCACTGCCTCTCATTTCTCATTGGTTTTCATAGGACTCTGCCTCGGGGTGTCTAGACAGGCTCAAATTTGGGTACTTGATTTAGGAAACATGGGTGGCCTCAATAAACATATTGGCCAAACAGGAACTTTTCAGAAAAACATTTGTGAATTTTATGCAGATTAATCGATGTGCCCTGAGCTTCTGGATAAAGGAATGGTTAGGAGGGGAATAGAGGCAGCTAGGTGGCATCATGGACTGAGTGCTAGACTTGGAAGCAGTACAACTTCTCTTCTTAGGCTCAGATCTGACCTCAGACACTAGCTATGTGACTCTGAGCAAGTCACTTAACCCTAAGGCCTCAGTCTCCTCATTTGCAAAATGAGCTGGAGAAGGAAATGGCAAATCACTCCAGTACTTTACCAAGAAAATCCCAAATGGGCGAACAGTCAGACATAACAGAACAACAACAAAAGGAGGAAAAAAAGGAGCCGTGGAGATAACGTGTCAAAAGCCTATCCAATAAGTTCTGATTTAAATTGCTGCTTCCTCCAGGAGTCTTTCCTTGATGCTCTTATCTCTAGGCCAGAAGTAATCTTTCCTTCTACTAAGTTTCTATAGTATTTTGTAATGTTTGAGATCAGAGACTTTCTTTTTTAAAAGAGCTAGCATTTACATAGCACTTTAAGGTTTATAAAATACTTAACAAGTATTATCACATTTTATTCTCACAACAACCCTGAGAGGTAGGTTAATTATTAATTTTCCCATTTGAAAGATAAAGAAACTGAACCAGAGAGAAGTTAAGTGATTTGCCCAGGGTCACACAATTAATAGGTATCTGAGGCTGGATTTGAACTCACGAATTTCTGACTCTAGCTCCGTACTCAGCTCCACCTACTTCCTTGTGTCCTCAATTCCTAGCATAATGCCTGGCACATAGTAGGCACTTAACAAATATCTGCTGATTGATACAGAAGGCACCTTAGGAAATCACTGTTGTTGTTTAGTCATATCTGACTCTTCATGACCCCACTTGCGGTTTTCTTGGCAAAGATACTAGAGTGGTTTACCAATTCCTTCTCTAGCTCAATTTGCAGATGAGGAAACTGAGGCCAGCAGGATTAAGTGACTTGCCCAGGGTCACATAGCTAGTAAGTGTCTGAGGCAGGATTTAAACTAAGGTCCTCCTGACTACAGGCTTTGTGCTCTATCCACTTTACCACCTAGCTGCCCCTAAGGATCACCACTGGGCAACTAAGTGGTTTAGCAAGTAGAGCACTTGACTTGAAGTCATGAAGAGTTGAGTTCAAATCCAGCCTCTGAAACTTACTAGCTATGTGACCCTGGGCAAGTCACTTGACTTCTAGCCTCAGTCTCCTTATCTGTAATAGCACCTACCTCACAAGGTTGTGAGGACCAAACTGAGAAAACATGTAAAGCACTTTGCAAACCTTAAAGTGCTATACAAATGCCAACTGTTGGTATTAATTATTATTATTGTTATGTTCAATCCCTTCATTTTACAGAGAAGCAAACTAATGCCCAGAAACGTTAAGGGTCTGACCTGAGGTCACACAGGTAGTAAGCATTAAAGAGATTTGCACCCAAGTCCTCCAAGTACAGAGCCAAGGAGCTTTCTATTACTCCCCACCTGAATCCCAAATCCATCTACCCTCCACAGTTCAACCCAGTCATAGGCACTAGTTAACATGCATTAAGTAGAATTTAGGAAATGAGGCAGAGGCATGAGAGCACATCTTACCCAATAAGCAGAACTGTGCAGAAAAGCATCTGTAAATTCTTTCCAGGCAGATCTGGCCCTGTCACTGAGTTTGTCAGGCAGTGGCCCCTAAAGCTGCTCCTCTCCAACTGCCATGTGGCTGGGTTTCAAAGGGTGGAGCCCTCTCCCCTCTGGAAATATCTGATACGATTCTTTTCCCTTTTCTTTTTTTCCCCTCTTACACATAGCTCCAGACAGGATATGGGTGTGGGGTTGATAGGCACGAGGAACCCAAAGGAAGAGGAGGAATGTGAGGGGAGGTGTTAGAGGAAGCTGATAACCTGAGCATGACATCAATTGGATGGATGAGAAATGAGCTCCCTACCTCTACCCTCCCCCCTCTTCCCCCCCACTCCCCTTTCCCTGCTCAGCTAGAGTTGAGAATATAGCCTAGGCCAAGATTTCTGCCACAGCCCGGCCAAGGCTTCTCAGCTTGTCCCATCCACAAAAAAGGAACAGGCCACTCAGTAAGGGGATCATTGATCATCTTCACTCCTAAAGAACTATACATTTCCCTGGATTTCGTGGTAACTCCCCCTCCATAACATCCCTCTTTGGGCTCCTTGTACAGGATTTCTATAATGCCCCCCTCTAACAACCTCAAAGCACCCAGCTCAAGCAATTTATTTGTTCTTTTCTTAAATGACTTTTTAAAAAATAAAGGTTTTAATGATGCTGTTTGTTTCTATACTACAATTATTGCCAGCTAAACCCCTCCGCTTAATAGCTAACATTCATACAGTACTTTTTTTCCAGAGTCACATAACTAGTGAGGGTCTGAGGCTAAATCTGAAACTCTGGAATCTGTCTTCTGGAATCCAGGTCCAATGGTCTACCAGTGTGTCTACCGTAGCTACCTCAAAGTGTTCCTTTATCTTATAACAAAGAAGTAATTAAGCCAAACCAAGGAAAACATAAACTGCCTTACAGCATCTTTCATATTTCACACCCACAGTCCCCTATTTCTCCAAGGGAAGGACACTGCCTCCTGTCTGTTCTGGGACCATCTTATCTGTTCCTGAGAGTTCCTTGTAGAACAAAAATGATGCTGTCTGTTAGTGTCTGGGAAACCTTTCTGGTGAGCAGAGAAGGAAGGGAAGACAGGCATGGTGTTGGGGCAAGGGAACAAGGTTTGAACTCAGATGACCTAGGTATGCAGCCTACCCTGGTTTCTTGCTACTTCTGTGATGTCTTTTAGCCTGTCTGAGCGTCATGTTCCTTATCTGTAAAATGAGGAAGTTTGGCTTAGATTTCTAATTTTCTGTCAGCACTGAATTCTAGGATCTGCCCATGGTGAGACCTAACAGCAGTATACTGGAACTAGACTTGAAGGCATAGGGTTCCCAGGCTGGGAAGATTCTGTGTCTCTCTTTCCCTTCTCCTCTTTCTACCTCTGTCTTTCTCTGTATTTTTCTGTCTTCTCTCTCTCTCTCTCTCTCTCTCTCTCTCTCTCTCTCTCTCTCTCTCTCTTCTCTCTCTCTCTCTCTCTCTCCTCTCTCTCTCTCTCTCTCTCTCTCTCTCACACACACACACACACACACACACTCTTCCCTCCTTCTTTCCCTCTCTCCTCTCTCTCTGCAACAGGTGGTACAGTGTAGCATGCTCACCTACCCTAGGTTCCCCTTCCAGAGGTGGGGAACCTGGGGCCTCAAAGCCACATGTGGCCCTTTAGGTCCTCAAATTCGGCCCTCTGACTCAACCCAAACTTCACAGAACAAATCCTTTCATTAAAGGGCTTTAACCATAGTAAGACAAGGATAAGCTAAGTAAAAACAAGGCTGGCGCGGGACGAAGTCCCAGTACCAGATCATTCAAAGCAGCTGAGCCAAAGCAGAACGGAGTATCCGATTGGAATCCGAGCTCCCGTCCAACTCCATCTCTCTCCGTGACAGTGGGGCTTAACACCTAGGGAGCTACTCTGTTCCAAGGCTTCAGACACACCCCCTCCCGTGTCACCACCACCACCACTATCTCCGGGGGAAATAAGTCGATGGCTGGGGGGTCTGGTAGGACCACACCCCGGAGAACTTACCACCACCCCTCCCCGTCCACCCTGGCCCAGAACTGCTTTCTCTCCAGCTGGGTGGGACCCTGTGAGCAGAGCAAATGAGGCTGTGTTCAGGAGGCCTGGGAGCTACGGGTTTCGGGGCGTTAGATGTGGAGTTTGTAGCCGGGCCTCAAGATGAGGCAGAAAGAATACAACATCGGGACACTGGGTGGGCAGTAGAGGGGTTGATCCAGGAGAGAAGAGACACTGAGGACTTAAGGGACCTTAAGTGAAGTTATCCGCAGAGGCAGAAGGAACTTCATGAGCGTTAACCCTTTGAGTATTCAAGATGGAGAAGGGGTGCAGGAGAATGGATCTGCCGTCCAGGCAGAAACAAATATTTAACACCTACTAGGCGCAAAGCCCAGCTGTGAGACAGAGTGACCTTTGTGGGTGGTATTTTAAAACAGCATTAAAAGTGTCTGTTCTTGGTTCCCCACTCTTCAGTGGTCACCTAACTTTGCCACCCACTCCGAAAGCCTGCAGGCATCTCCATGCACCACAGTAGCAGCTACCCCTCCCCTCCAGTCTCCAATCTTGATTTAGACAGTCCTTGGGAGGTAGGGGCCAATAAATCTCCCCACCAGACCCCAAGGAATCCCTGGCGCTGAAGACCCTCAGGCTAAGCGGGTAGCTCCGCGGCCCCCACCCCACCCCCTCTGGCACCGAGACATTTGGCCAACATTGCCAAAGCACGATCCTAAGGCAGCCCTGACTCCCCATTCCCTCATGCCTCCGCCAGCCTTAACAAACACACACACACACACACACACACACACACACACACACACACACCCCCCATCCCACGCACCCACTAAGATTTGGTCATCTTCCATCCCACCACATGCAGCTAACTCCCAGAAGCAGTTTTGTCCCATTGCGTAGCCCGACTCCGTTCCGCTCCAATAAATTCCCGTTAGAATTTCCTCCCTGCTAGCCATTGCCCGAGTCTACAAGAGCAGCCCGCTCTCCCAGGGGAGAGAGGTGCACTAATGGGGAAGGTCGGTATCTCTCGGTAACCCAGCCTGCAGTACCTCCAAACCTCCCTCCCCTTTGCCGTAAGGCTATGCGTCCTGGGTCCCGCTCCCAGGTCCCCCCTACTCACACAGCAAACTCAGCAAACCGATCAGGGTCGCCCAAAACTGCAGCCGCAGTCCAGCGCGCCAGCTTCTCGGGAGCAGCATCTTCGCAGCTCGGCTCTCCCAGCAGCTGCACAAAGTCCAACAAGCTGCCCCGCTCCCGCAGCTCTCGGCTTCCCGCCCCCTCTGCCGGGGGTGGGAGATACTGGCTTTTTCCCCCTTCCCCCTCCTTCTTTTGACTCTGGGCTGGGCCTGCCTGGGCTCCTTCGCGGTTTCCGTGGGCTTCCCAGGTCAACCTAAGCGTGGGAGGGGGTGTGGGCGGAGGGCGGGGGCGGCCGCTGTATGCACAGCAGTGGTAGAGTGGCTGTTTTGAACCTGGTACGTAGAGTTTGTTTGGACCAGGGACGCTTCTTCCAGCTTTATATAGACTCAATGACCCGTCTTCCTTGGGCTCTGAAGCATTGATTTCCACGTGCCTTTTAACTCCTTTATGCCTCCCCAGGCCCCACACCCACTCTTTCACCCTGCTCCCAAAAACTCCCTTCTTGGGCAGGTAGTCCCAAAGCCTGAGCAATGTCTTTACGATTTTTTTCTAAGATTACACAGAACGAGCAACCAATACAATTCACCACATAGTTTATTAGAGGCTGCAAGGGTTAAAGCACAGTAAGGGGTAACAAGTCTGAAGAAAACAATGACTTCCTACCTTCAAGGAGTTTACAATCCGGACAAAGGAGAGTCGATATATTAGGTGAAATCAGCTCTCCTAGCAGAAGCCTTTCCCAATCCTCCTTCATACCAGCACCTTCCCTCGGTGACTGTTCCCAATTTATCCTGTGTTTATCTTGTTTGTACATAACTGTTTTCTTGTTTTCTCTCTCATTATGCTGTGAGCTCCCTGAGAAAAGGGCCTGTCTTTTTCCTTTCTTTGTATCTGATTCATAAGTATTTGTTGCCTATAAAACCCTGTCATTTCTATGGACCTTTTCAATCTGCAAAGCACTTTACAGCTATTATCTCCTTTGATTCTCATAACAACCTTATGAAATAGATGCTATTATTACCCACATTTTACAGATGAGGAAACTGAGGCTGAGAGTGGTACAGTGACTTGGTACAACTAGTAACAGTCTTGAGTCCAAAGCATTACCTCCTTACTGTGTCACATATGTAATCCTCATCGTTTTAGCGATATAAAGGTGACAACATTTTTCTTGAGTTCCATAATCACTCTTTAGAAGTATTTACTCTGTGCAAGGCACTGAGAATGCATAGATGTGAAATGTACAGCTTGTTGTATTCTTTGCATTTGTAACCCTACTGCCTAACACTGAGTCTGGCATATGGTAGGAGTTTAATAAATGCTTGTTGATTGACTGAAGCTTATCGATTACATTGTGTTAAGCAAGATCAAAGTATAGGAAAGACCATCGGATTTAGAATTCCAAAAGACCTTAGAGGTGATCTTAATCCAACCCCCTCATTTTACAGATGAGAAAACTGAGGACCAGAGAGACTGTTATTTTCCCATGTGCTATTCCTTTCACAAAAGAAGTAACTAACAGATCTTACCTTTGAACTCAGGTCCCCAGGGCATTTCATTTTGCTGCAGGCTGCCCCCCTGGGCTTTACAATCTAGGAGAGAAATACCACACAAACTATGTTACATGTTCACAAAACTATATTGCAACTTTATAAGTACAAGTAGGACAGGCATGATAGTTTGTCTGAAAAGGATGTATTAAAGAACAAAGTGCTTTATGAGCAGGTAGGTCACTCTCCACTTGGAATCAATCAGGGAAAATTATATGGAGGAATTGCATTTGAGTTTGACTGTTAAGAATGAGCAGGCATTCAAAAGGTGAAAGAAGAGAGATCATTCCATGCGTGGGAAACACATGGGAAAAACACATGGAGTTGGGAGAGAGAATAGCACATATTGGGAGGAGGGGGCATTTGACATAAGGTGTGAGGAGGGGAATAAGATGAAATCAGGGTGGAAATGTAGTGTGGCACTGGTTTGTGAATGGTCTTGGATGCCAAGGAAAAGAGTCTGAACTTTATTTTACAGGCAGTAGGGAGTCATTGAAAATTTCTTTAAAAAATCAGTGATATGATTACATCTATGCATAAGTAAAAATATTCTTGAAGTGTAAAAAATAGACTGAAAAGGTAGATGGTAGAAGCGGTTTTCATACTCCAGGAGGATGGTAATACAATTAGCAGTGGTTATTAATATATATGCATAGATAAGTATATATAAAATATGTATACATATATGTGCACACACACATATTCTGCATATTCACATATATGCAGAAATATTACAGTAGAAGCTCACTAGAAAGAACTCGATAGCTGAATAGATATTGTTATTGTTTTTTGTCCTTCATTTTTGAAGAGGACCAATCACATCAAGAAACGATCGGTGATGTTTGGACTTATATGTGAGCTGGATTTAAGGGAGGCAGAGCTGCACAAAGTCCTCAGCCTCACTCTCTCTTCCAGAGTCCTCAAAGTTCAGTGGCAGGACAAAAGTCAAGGTGACTGACTGATGGCCCAGGATGCAATGGATGACCCTGGAATCTTTGACTGAATGTAGATACTAAAAGAAAGGGCACAGGCAAAGATAGCCCTAGGGTTTTGAATACAGAAGACTGGGTTAATGGAGGTGCTTTCTATAGATGGTAATAAAGCAGTAAATTCAGAATAAGGAACAGTTTTACAGGGAAATATAGTCAATTTGGTTTGGGACACATTGTGTATGAGTTGCTTGTAGGAGATCAAGATGGCGCTGTCCTGTAAGCACTTGGAGATATGAGTTGGGAGCTCAGAAAAGAGAAGGATGTATCTGTCACAGTTTCTCATGCTATTCTTCTAGAAAAGAGGCAAAATGTATGCTAGACGACAGTACAATAAGACAGATTTGAAGCTAGTTGAATATTAGATCCAAAGATTGCCATTTATATGACTTAATGCCAACTTGGATAGAGGTCTTCAGCAGAGAGTCTTATGTGTCTCTGTTTGGCTCTGTGCTGTTTAATATTTTTGTCAACGATTTGGGTAAAGGCAAAGATGGCATGCTTATAAAGTTTGCAGATGGCATAGGCTGAAAGGGAGAGCTAATTCTTGGGATGGTCAGATTCAAAATGAGCTTGACAGACTAGAACATTGGACTGAATGTAATAAGATGAAATTTAATGGGGATAAAGATGAAAATCAGTTTTATATGTTTATGATAGGGGAGATGCTTATACAACAATTTGTCTTAAAAATGTAGGATTTTTAGTTAATTACGAGGTCAATATGAGCTAACAGGATAAGAGGGCAGCTACAAAACCCAAAGCAATATTATCTTCATTAAGAGAGGGGTAATATCCAGGACTAAGAAGTTGTTAGGGCTATCGACATTGTACCGTGCTCTGGTCAGACAGTGGCCGAAACGTTGTGTTCTGTACTGGGTACCACATCTTAGAAAGGAAATTGACAAGCTGGAGAGCTTTCATGGAAGGGCAACAATGATGGTGAAGGTGAGTTGAACTGAGGGTGAGCTAAAAGAAACTAGAGATGTTTTAGATTAGAAAAGAGAAAACTCAGGAGGAAATGATGGCTATGTTCAAGTATTTAGAGAACTGTCAGGTGAAAAGGGGTTTGGAATTTGTTCTGTATGACTCCTGAAAACAGAGCTAGGAACAATGGATAGAAACTCAGACATAGTTTCAGGGGGTAAAAAGCAATTGCCCAACAACAATGTTATCAGAAAGTAGAATAATGTTTTCCTTCTATCACCATCACTCAATAATTTCTCCTCCATTTTCACCTTCATTCAATATATATCTGCCACCCAATCAAAATTCTGGTAGCTGTTGTCCACTGATTTCCAAGGCATTCTCCTTCTTTCTTCAATGAGTTCAGGGACTGGATCACAATTTTTTCCCTTCTTCTCAACTGCCCTCACTTTAGGAATCTAATTGCCTTTTTTTCCCTAATTATCATTCTTCTTGACTGCTCTGAAGTCTTTAGCACTGTCCATCACCCTCTTCTCTTTGCTACTTTTTTTTCTCCAGGTTTTCATAACAATACCCCACTGGGTTCTCTTTCTACCTATCTGACTACTCCTTCTCCCTCTCCTTTAGTGGATCTTCGACTAGATCACAACTGCTAAAAGGGAGTGTCTCCCTGGGCTCTGTCCTGGGCCTTCTTCTCCTTCTGTGCTATTTCATGTAGCAATCTCATCAGCTTTCATGGATTTAGTCATTATGTCTAAGCTGATGATTCTCAGATCTTCTTATCTAGCCCCTAACCTGTCTCTTAACCTACAGATTCAAATCTCCAGCTGCCTATTAGCTAGCTCCAACTGGATGTCCCATAGTCTCAAACTCAACATGCCCAAAAAACTTTCCCTCTTCCAAACTTCCCTATTACTGGCAGGGGCATCTCTATCTTCCCTGTCACCCAGGCTTGCAACCTAGGTATTATCCTAGACCATTGCCCATATCCAATTTTTTGCTGTCTTGTGGATTCTACCTTTGTAACATCTCTCAAAAAAAAAACCCAACAAAACCCTTCTCTGACACAGCCACCACCCTGATGCAGGCCCATATCACCTCATACCTGGACTATGCAAAAGCTTTTAGTGGGTCTCTGTGTGTCAGTTCTCTCCTCCTCCCAGTCCATTATCCACTCAGTTGTCAAACTCAGCTGCCTAAAGTGCCAATCTGACCATGCCATCCCCCTAGTCAATAAACTCCAGGGGCTCTCTATCCCTTCTAGGATCAAATATAAAAGTCTCTGACATTCAAAGCCCTTCCCAATCTGGCTTCCTTCTACCTTTCCAGTATTCTTACACTTTACTCCAAACTCCTCCCATGTACTCTATGATTCAGTGACACTGACCTCTTTGATCTTCCTAGAACAAAAACTCCATCTCCAGACTGCAGGCATTTTAAATGACTGTCCCCATGCCTGAAATACTCTCACTCCTTATCTCTATCTCCTGGCTTCTCTATAAGTCCAGCTAAAATCCCATCTTCTATGGACAACGTTTCCTGATCCACCTAGTGTCTTCTCTACTGATTATCTCCAATATAGCCTGTATATATTCTGTTTATACATAGTTGTTTCCATGATGTCTCCCTCATTAGACTGTGAGCCACCTGAGAGCAGGAACTGTCCTTTGAATCCCCAGCACTTAGCATAGAGCCTGGAATAGAGTAGGTACTTAATAAATGCTTATTTATGGACTGCTGCATAGTAGGCGCTTAATAAGTGTTTTTTCATTCTTGCTATTTGGCTGTTATTCATGGAACGCTAGCCATCTCCAAAGAATAAAAATTACCACTGCCCCAGAGGGTAACAGAGAGCCGCATAGAGGGCATAGACAACTG